GGCACAGCAGCCAACCTAGCCCTGTACCCCAAAAGTGCAGGTGGAGCTGAGGGTGGCTGGAAACCAGAGCTTGGTCACACGCCCAGCCTGGAGAGAGTCAGATAGCCAGATCTCCTCCAAAGAGGCCAGAGCTCCCCCTTCTGTGAAGTGGACCCCCAGCCCCATCCGACCCCTCCCAGGCTGGGAAAGCAGGTGAGGCGTGGGCGTGAGCTGCCCTCTCGGAGTGAGCAGCAAGGATTGTCCAAACAACCTTTACTGAGGGGCCGAGGACCTGCGGGTGTTTTCCTGGTGGTGGGGGGTGGGGTTGGCAAAAAAGGGCCCTAAGGATGAGGTAAGAGCCCAGAGGGTCACCCTGGAGAACAGGAGCCGTTGCCAGCCACACCATTCTGACGGAAGCCGGTGGGGCGCTGGGGGACCACGGAGCGGGCTGTCTGCAGGGAGTCAGCCCTACCAACCAGGGGCCCCTGTGTCTGCTCTGGATGTCCAAGTGGCTTCTGTCCACCCATCTGTCTGGTAAGCTCCTTAAGGCTGGGGAACTGGGAGGAACACAAGGGAGGGAGATCCTGAAACGGGGGCTGGCAGATTAAGACTCTCCTCCCAGAGGAAGTCAAGAAGCTGGGGTCAGGAACCAGGAAGCCAGAGGAGAGGTCCTGCACGCACCCCTGTTCCCAGCCCTCCCCGGGGCCTTGTCTGCCTCTCCCCCGTGGAACCAGGGACAATTCCCAATGAGCCCGAGGAATCCCATCTGCCCCCCTCCAAGCACCTGGGCTGTCCCCAAGGCCAGGCCAGGATTTATGGAGCCAGGAGAACCAGCCACACCAGATTGGAAAAGTGAGGCCTGAGCTCCAGCCGAGGCACTGGGGCCAGAGAGAAGGGCAGACATTTGTCCGTCATTCATTCATTCATTTGGTGAGAACTACTGACGGGACTTCTCTTAAGTGCTGGGGACACAGTGGTAGCAAGGACAGAGCTACGGCCTGAAGGTGGAATTCTGTGTTCCAGTTAGGGTCAGGGCGTAGGGTTAGCTGCTGGCAGGGGCACAACCGGGCCCCGGGAAGTTAGGTCGGAGGGAAAGGGCAGTGTGCATCCTCATGTGTGCAGGCCCTGAGCTGGGTGCTCACACCCATGACCAGCTGAGTGGGAACTATCATCCCCACCTCATCAATGAGACAACTGAGACTTGGAGCTGTGGACAGGGAGCCCCAGGTCCCCAGAGCTGCAGGACTGGGCAAAGCACACACAGGAAGGTACAGCATGTAAAGACAAGGGCCTCTCGATGTTTTTTTAACCCTTTTCAGGGTTTAAGAATTATGAATAAAATAAACATTTATTGCAACAAATCGGTCACTACACAGGGAGATAAAGAAGCAGCTGGTCTGGTCTCCCCTTCTCCACGTGCAGCTCCCGAAGATGCCAGCGGCTCATGGGCGGTTGGGGCGGTCTGCTGGTTTCCCCGTGCCCTGCAGCGTGCTCACCACCGCTGAGGCCGACCTGGTGGAGCCTCCAGGCCTGTGCCTGCAGCTCCCGCTTCTCCTGAGTCTCTTTGCCATATTCCACGGAGTGTATGTGCTAGCCCAGGGTACCACAGCACATTCAAGCAGTCACTCCCGAGACACCCAGGCTGCTTCCAGATTGCAGACTCCACAGGGAGTGGCAACAAACCGCCCTGAGCATCTGTCCCTCTTGGGGGTCCCTGTTTCTGTCTGTCCTCCCCCAGCCCCCCGTATCCCCTCCCTCGTGTCCATACACAGGGCTGGACACCCCGACTCCAGCCCGTACAGCTTTTTAAACCTCCGATCCTTATTTTTCCTTCTTGCTTTCCTGATCCTAAGCTCTTATAATCACTTAACATGCTAAAATTCTCTTAAGTTTATAAATCCACTTGCCCCCTCCCGGACTTGGGGGTGCAGAGCCTCTGAGGAACCCCAGCTGGTGAGAGAAGAGAGCACAGTGGGGCAGGGGTGGTGGGAGGGTAGGGAGACCAGTGTGCCTGGTTGCAGCCGCTTCCCCTCTCCGTGCCTCAGTTTCCTAGCCCATTAAAGGGGCGTGCTAATGGTTTCTGCCTTGCAAGGCTGCAGAGGGCGTGGGCAGGTGCTAGCCATTGCCATCACCGACGCTATCAGGACAAGCTGACCGGTTTGACCCTCACTGGTCCTGCTGCTCCAGGTCCCTGCCGCTGCAGTGCCACACACTTCCCACTAGAGGGCCAGCATTAGCCGTGCGCTCTGTCTGGGTACCTAGAACAGGCCAGCCAGGCAGAACGCTGACTGCGTGTGTGGGGTGGGGGCAGGGAGGGCAGTGCCATCAGTGCTGGGCTTGGACCGCCTCAGGGCGGGGGACAGATGGACAGAGGGGCGTGGGAGGCAGGCGTGAGAAGCTGCCTGCCAACACTGCAGTGCTCCACGCTCCCACAGTCCGGTCTGGGTGGATCCATCCTGCGGCCCCGCCCAGCTCTGGCCAGGATGCCACCTGACTCAGGACAGAGGACTTGCACAGGCAGGGTAATGACTGCTTCCCAGGCCTCGGCACTGAGTCAGGAGCCGCCTTGGGCTAGAGGGCCCACACCTGCCCTCCCTCCCAGCCAGTATCCTGAGGCCTATCTGGTCACTCTCCTGAGACTGACCCCTTGTTGGGGTCCTGCGGGAGCCCCGAGGTGACACCTGGTTTCCTCCCAGCCCCCCGCAGGGAGGGGCTCGGTGAAGGAGACACCAGCCAGGGGCCTGGCCTGCTCTCGACACACAAGCACTAGACCCACAGCCCCTGGGGGGTAAGCAGAGGGGAGTCCAGGGCCATCCGTACGGTTTACAACGCCTTCCCACCTCCTGGCCTGCTGTGAAGCCTGTCCTCCCTCCAGGATGACCTCTGGGAAGTCAAATGTCCCCCACCCCACAGGCGCCTTCCCACCCAAGCCCCTCGGCAAGAGACGCCATACTGTCTTGTCTCATGAGGAATTGGGTGAGCCTTCAGCAAAGGACACCCGCTCCCAACATCCTGTCCTCCAGATGAGGAAACAGGTCAGAAAACCACCCCAGCCCCAGGAACAGAATCCAGACCTGCATGAGGACTCCCTGCCATGTGTTGTCCCAGTCCTGGGGGGTCCTAGTCCCAGGGAAACCCCCATCCCCCAAGCTCCATGGGTCCTGGAGCAAAGATCTCAAGAAGCAAGTTCCGGCTCTGGCTCCCCTGACAAGGGCCATGCTTTGGACCAGGGGCAATCCTACCACATGGACATTTGCCACCACTCTGCCTACCTGGGCTGGGCCAACTTGAGAGGGCAACTCCGTGGACATCAGAGCTGGGGACATAGGTCAGCTGAGGAGGCCTCAGGTGCTGTTTGACAGGGCACCAGACATCCAGCCTCCCTCAAGGGGGTCAGGTGCTCCCTGGGCCAAATGAATCCGGGATGGCTGGTGTTTGGCAGATCCCTGCCTCCCAAACCTGGGAAGGAACGGGGTCCCTATAGGCCCCAAGGCCCAGCAAGGGTGCTTCAGTCCAGGCAGAGGAGCCTGCAAGACCCTTGGGCGGGCTGCAGGTGAGGACCCAAGCTGGCTCCCTGCACGCTCGCCCCGTCGGGATTCCCCCATTTCCCCACTGCACAGCCGACCCAGGGGGATGGGGGGGCGGCTGCCCTTAGGGAGTGAGCGGTGGTTTTGGTCTAGGGACTCCCCGTGCCCCCGTGCCCTGCCCCGCAGGCTGCTGGGGCTGAGGACCAGGCCTCTGTGGCTCCCCCGGCCTGCCACCTCCCTCCCCGCCCAGAATAGCTCTGGCCCTGGGCAGCGTTCAGGCCCCACCAAACATAGTGCGGTCCGCCCGCCGCCCCGTCCCCGCCAGCCTCAGGCTCCTGCACTGGCCCAGCACCGGGAGCGGAGGGGCGGGGAAGGCTGAGGGGTTTGGCTGAGCAAGAGGGAACCCATTCCTCGCTGAACCCAGAAAAGCCTTCTGGGGCTGGAGGGGCCTCAAAAGCCTGCTGAAGCCAAGCTACGCCCTCCCCTGCCAAGGGCTGCTCCAAGACCAGGCCTGGCACGTATCTCTAGGACAGCCGGCAGTGACAGAGGCCTTCCTCACATGGCCTCGATCCCACACCTGCCC